CATTGCAGCACGAGAAGTAGCATAATCAACTTGTTTACCCCAACTTAATTTGCAAGTTAAAAAAATACCAAGATGTTTATGGAAAGGAACTGAATCAAGAGGAGAATCATTGATGTAGTAATTTGTAGCAAGAAAAGGTAAAAAAAGAAATTACAGGAAGTAAAGGAAAAGAGAGACAGGTGGAAAGAATGAAAGAAAGAAAGGAAAGGGTAAGAAAAGACACGAAAGAAAAAGAAAAAAGGTAAAGAAGGTAATAAGGACAAGAAAATACCGTAAATATTTAACAATCAAGTAGATAAAAATAAATAAATAAATAAATAAAATTATTCAAATGATTCAAATGATAGAAACTGGACGTCATGTCGTCCCAAGATTCCGCTGGAAAAACGCATATGTAAAATATGTGATTCAGGAGAGTAATAGTATATTTAGATATATAGTTGATAATCATTTATTTATTGGGTGGAACTTTTAAAAATGTATCCCACTTTTTATATTATGCGCTATATAAATTGACAATTATTATTATTATTATTATTATTATTATTATTATTATTATTATTATTATTATTATTATTATTATTATTATTTATTATTATTATTATTATTATTATTATTATTATTATTGTTATTATTATTATTATTATTATTATTATTATTATTATTATTATAGGCAGGCCATAAGTTGTAGGTATAAGTTATGCAATCGTTGACACACGTTCACACTAATGAGTAAAGTATTCATAAGTCGAAATACGTCAAGATAATGTCTAGTGTACCCAAAACTAATTTCTAACCTATGAGTAACGTACTTTGAACATATGTGTAACTTTTATATCGAACTCAACTCATCTCCAAAGCATATTGAATTATGTAGACGTATTTGACGTCCGGACGACACAGAACTTACTGAACGTGTTCCTAACTTACAGCTACCGTATAGTGGCGTATTGGCAGCGTTTAGGGGAATTGGTATATAAACGTGGGGTGATGTTGATACGGTAATATTGATACTGGGACAATGATGTTGATAATGCGATGTCTGGTGCAGTTATGATTTGAATCGACGAGCGCCAGCTTTTTTTACAGGCTTCATCACGTGATCGTCTGCGATTCGCTGCCATGCGCTGTGTGTAAGTTAGACTCCCGTTCCGCAACCTTTATAGCCCACGACCCAAATTACATGTCAAACACTCAGACGCGACCCATCAAACCGGAAGCCAAATTTCTCATCTGAATATCATGGGGAAATGATTGAATACGGTATTATTAAATTTTAAGTTTGAGTGAATTAAGTCAATAAATCACGTCTGTCGTTTTATACGCGCGAGTGGAATCAGAAGAACTCACTTGATTCGTTTGGCAATCGATTAAAGGATAGGCCTAATCCAAAGATCACCCACACAATCAATTTAAAACTCATAAAAATGAAAGTACAACTTTGAACTACTCATTTAACAAAGCACGTAAGTTATCAAATGTTCCAATAATATTTTCAAAAATGAATTGTTTACAGACATTTTACTATAGGCCTACAGAAATTAATAGATTTGCTGCCAGAAATATGGGTTAAGCCTATGCGAAGACATAGACACATTAAATTGAAGAGAAAAAATGTTTTTTCCTTATACTTTTCAGCTGAAAGCCAAACACACTGAAAAGAATAAAAGCAACACTTTCAAGTTGTCATACCTGAAATACAACTGTTTTGATAGAGGCCTATATTATTTAACATAATATAAAGCGCTTTGTATCCTAATAGAATAGGTGTTATATAAAAACTAAAATAACAAAATAACAAATAAAGCTATGATAACAAATGCATTACAAAAGTAAACTGCACTTTCGTTTACTGCAAATTGATTTCGTTTGTCCTTGTTAAGTAGAGTTTTCACAATCGGAAGAGATTATGCGACCCATCTAAATGTTTCCGCGACCCAAACATTTTGTAGCGACCCACAGGTTGCGGAACGGTGAGCTGGTTATCGTTTGGCATAGCTGTGCAGCTCGTTAAGCATTCCTTGGCATCTATAAGTTATCGAAACGTTCTGTACAAGTAACTAATACTTCGTATACATCCAACTTTATGAATACGCTATGTATACGCCCAAAATTGAAAAAAAAACCAAAAAAAAAAAACAAAACAAAAAAACAAAAACAAAAACACACACACACATCAATAGTTCAGCGTATGCCAGTGTTCTCAAAACGCTGGTTAAATGTCAAGGTGTGATAGGGCCATGACAGGTCCAGTTTCATAGGTAACAGAATAGTCGAAACTTTTATGATTTGTATCGATACCGATTCCAACGCATACTAATTTAATCTCGTAATGTACAGCTTCACGTGACTATATAATAATAATGATAATAATAGATGGATTTATATAATGCCGATAAACGAGGTCTCTATGCGCTCGGGACTAGATGTTGCACTTTTCAACAATAATTTCAACACAATAAATATCGAAAGGTTGTTTCAGAACCGCAAGGGAAAGGCGCAATATAAATACCCAGTACCAGTACCAGTTGTGTGTTGATCGACATTTTCAACCGCAACAGGGTGAGTAGAGCACTATTCCTAATGATTTTGTTTATACACTCAATGAACTTCTGGTTCAGTTGTGGTCCAATCTGCAATATCCACAGTCATACAATGTTACGTACAGTAAAGGCGGCGAATTCACGCATGGTCAAAAAATATCCTGCCTAATGAACACTGCAAGATGGATTGATAGTTTGTGTTGTGTGTATTAGACCAGCTTTATTTTATTTCTTCTTTTAGTTCTTTCTTACCTTCTCGCTCACACTCATCTTCTCTCTCACACTTCTCTTCTCTATCATCAACCTACGTTTATTCTATGCTTTGTCGATAAATCTGAGTGAAGCCTTCAAACAGCTCAGGAAAAATAAATGACAAATGTTTCATTTTCGCTTTTAGGACGAGAGTGAATGCCATGAGATTGTTAATAATAGACCTGCATAGTGTAAGTATAAAGTAATAAAGCCTTCGATAATCAAGGGTGGTTCAGTGGGGGGCGGAGGAACCTTAGGCTCCGTCTGGGAGAGCTCCCCTACCCCAGGTCGGGGAGAAAAACACTCTTCGTGTGAGGAAGAATTTAAAAAAATACATTTTACATATTTGTAGACTTTTGTATTCGTTTAAATAAGCCTTTTGAAACACCCAAATTATCATAGCTTCAGGGGCTACGACCCCTGGATCACTTCCGAGAAATTTTGAGCGACGCCCGAGAACGCCCGCTTAAGTTCTCTTCGCGACGCCAAAAAAATACCGACAGGAGCCAGGAGCCGACGAAGCCCCGGTCGACGACTTGAAATAAAAACTACCTTGTATTGTTCACGGGGAGAGTTTTTATGGCTTGGTCCAAAATGTGCTTTTAGACCACAATATTAGGCACCGGCAGTCAAAAAATAACATTACTTGGATAGGCAAATTATTATTATTTTTTTAATTTTTGATGCGACGACATAGGCGTGCGTCGGGCGACGGTGGTCCAGGCCTGTCCCACCAAATACCCCTGTCCCTGGTAGTGCCACCACTGCATGCAATACTAGGAATTCTCCTCAGAGAGCGGAAAAGGTTGCTGCCATCCAATGAAAATAGGACTAGGTGGGATAAAAATTGCTCTAATTCGTACAATTTTTGTGAAAGTTGTAATTAGGAATTCATTTTATGATTTGAGTGTAAATATCTATATAACAATTTTTTATGTTTGGTATCTGTTTCAGTTCATTCTAGTGTATTTGATGTTACTGTTGCTTGGTATATCTATTGGTATGTTGCGCCAGTTTAGTATAGTGTTAAAGTGTTAATTATTATTTACGTACGATTTTTCTATATTATATCTTGTTTTGTTGTTTCAATCCAGGATAGATCTGCCGGGGGTGGAGGCTTGAAGCGCACCAACGAGGTTCGGGGAATTGGGGAGGGGTTCCCCTCTATTTGGCCGGGAGACCGGAGCCGCCAAGGCCCCCGTTTGGGGTTCCAGGAAGCTTTGCATTTAGAACTTATCCAAACGAATTTAGACAGTTTAATAAAAGGAAGCAAATACATTTTGTTTTGTCAGCATTTCCCTATAAAAAATACAAGATTTTACTATTTTTCGATGTACTTTATTTACATTTAAAAATATTACTGAAAGGCAGTTTAACAATGAAAGCAATTTGAAGAAAATACATTTTATGAATTTTATCGACGCCATTCTATAACATTTGCTTTTTTGTTTCGCACTCGATTGTTAAGCAATAGGTTTATGTTTTTTCTATGGCAAACGCCTCTTTAAACATGATATTTAAACATGATATACCATTTTGGAAAGCCAACTTCTCCCCCTGGTGGATCCGCCCCTGCAATTTTAGTATCTTGCAAAATATACAACAGATGTAAATAACAGATATGTAACTTAGAATCAATAATTAAAGCTAATGACAGATGATAGAAGGAATCAAATAACCACACAATGGCAACCTCTATGTGGAAATAGAAAGAGGGGGCAGACGAAGAAGAATATGGAGAAATGAGCTGGTGGAGAAGGCACGGACACGAAAGATATAAAAAACAGATGGCATGATTTGTGAGAAGCCTTCGCCCAGCAGTGGGACGTTACAGGCTAAGAATGATGATGATGATGATGATGATGATGATGATGATGATGATGATGATGATGATGATGATAATGATGATGATGATGAAGAAGAAGAAGAAGAAGAAGAAGAAGAAGAAGATGATGATGATTCTGACTAGCAACTTAAATTTATGTATAATCATTTACAACAAAAACTATAACAGAATGTATGTTTTTAGTGACACGTAGCCAATTAGTGATACCATCTGGTCAGGTGGCCAAAGAAGGTGATGATGCAGTGGCGATAGCATGTGACTATTCACAAGTTACTAATACACCTCTTGCTATCATATGGATTGAAGTAAACGAATCAAGTTGTAAACTTGTAAATAGTATTAAGACTGTCAATGGACGTTACAGCTTAAGAAAAACTCCTGGAAATGCTGCGCTGATTATTGCGAAGCCTTTAAGGAATGATACTAATAGAAGATTCTTATGTGAGATACTGACTCAAAAAGGAGGAAATATACTTTCAAATCCTTCCATCCTTAAAGTATATTGTAAGTATGACAAGCCATATTTCAAAATGTTCATTCTGCATTTATTACATTATTGTAGAAAATTGCTTCACAAATTTTAACATTGTTAACATCATCCAGTAAAGTAACTTGTAAATGAATACTTGTGATTGGAATGTAATTTTGTTATTCATGGACAGTGTTATTAAAACGAGCGAGCTTATTTTAAGACATGTAATTCCAAAAAAAGAAAGGACGCCAATTAAACCTGGTTTGGCCCGCACGAAGCGCAATAAAAGGATTATATTTCACAGAATAATGGTTTTTCTAGTATAAAATTTAAGCAATTGAAATTGAAAGATGTATTTTCTCGTGAAAATAAGTGTGTTCCACCACAAGAGAGAGAGGGAGAGAGAGGGAGAGGGAGGGGGAGAGAGAGAGAGAGAGAGCGCTCTCTTATACACATCTAGATGTGTATAAGAGACAGCTACACCATCAAAGCTCTCACCAAAGAATCCCCCTAATCTTTTCCGAAGAGTGTACTGCGTTCTTTAACGTGTACATGGGCCATAAATGCACAAACGGCTTAATTAAACGTCCGGAAATGACACTTTTAAATAGTAAAATTTATTATCATTGTCACATCACGATATTATAGTCAAAATGAAGCGCCAACAAATTTCTCATGATCTTTTATCAGGGATTTTCGGCAACCATAGATATCTACTTAATATCCAGGACAACTTGGGCCCAAATATACTAAGCTTCAGCTACTATAATAATGATCGACAAATCACAACTTTCCAGCCCAACTTTTAATATTATTGATATTATCATCTATCATCATAATCACCATCTTCGTCATCACCATCATCATTTTCTTCTTCATTATTATTATTATTATTATTATTATTATTATTATTATTATTATTATTATTATTATTATTATTATTATTATTATTATTATTATTATTATTATTACTACTAATTTAGTAGTATTAAACAAAACTTTATAAATGCTTGCAAAAGGACAACATTCAAACTGAACCATACAATATCACCTTTCTGTATTTTAAAAGACATGACCGGGGATTTATGGATTTAAGACGAATTTAATTTTTTTTTGTTAAGTAAGTTTGCTAAATCTACTCCTTGAGCAGTAGCCGTTATAAACTCGGAAATATATTTTTTACATTATCGTGTACAGTGACAAATTTATAAATCTAATAAATATTTTACTGGGTTACTATCAGATTAGCGAGTGAATTTTATAGTGGGTTTATGGTGGGTTTCTATTAGAGCACGGGTCCAAACCTATAGTAGAAGTAGTCAATTAGAAATTGTACAGCATTTAAATCAACACCAATGTGCTGATGCATATTTACATATTTTAGAGAAGTATTCATTTTGAGTGATTCCAGGAAAGAATTTGTAGACTTATTGGCTAACAAGAACAAGCTTTAAAATTCTAACACTTTACAAAGAGGTGGGGAGGGGGGAAGGCTCCCACGTGACTGGAATTGTTTCTATAATTAAATTTTTTTTTGCTGTAAAATTATTGGTAAACATATTTTAAATACACTAATGTCTATGAATCAAGTTGATAATTTTCATGTTGCTTCAAAATGGGCAAGAAAATTCGAAAAAAGATTTTGATTTTTTTTTTGGTATTTTGCATGGGATCTTCACTGTTACGTGTTTGTCTTTGTCAGCATGCAGTTCAATTCCTCTATGATTCTTTCAAACCTAGATGAACCTGTTCTCACTGCCTCGAAAAGCAGTGTCTATGAAGAATAATCAGTCACCTTGTCCTGTAGTATACATGATAGACTGTATTGTATTTTTAATGTCTGTCATTGAGTTTTCTAATTATGTAATTTTTCAGTTTGATAGCTTTAGACTTGTCAAATCTATTTAAATACAGAAGACATAAGGCAGATATGATCAAGGTTTATGAAAGACTAATTGGTTTGGTATCGATTTCTAGTGATGTGTACTCATTGATATAGGGTGAAACATAAATTTCATCGCCCTAGTATTAATCTGCGTGCAAATTTTACTCATTTCGAATGGTGCTTTTTAATTGATTTCAATTTATACAAAAATACCTCCAAGAAGGAGAACATCAAATAATACGAATTTTATGGGATCGTCTTCCGGATCATGTAGTATCTGCTACTAATGTGAATGTATTTAAGGCTAGGCTTGAGGAATCATGGAGTGACCACCCACTGTAGTTTTCGCCATTTTACAATATGACATGATTACTTAGATGGGCTTATAAAAACGTTTTGGTAACCTCAATTCCCTTGGAGTGAAGATAGCTCTCGAAAGACTACATTAAACAAGCGTAATTTCTCGAGTTGTGACGTAACAGCAATGAGTTGTTACTGACTAATGTTAGAAGCCCCATAACTCCTAAAGGAGGTGGGGTGGGGGGGGGTGTTAGTAGACCATGTAAAGACATATCAAGATTCAAAAACATTTATTCATCCTCATAAAGGAAATTCATTGCCCGCAATGTACATGCTAACATTCATTAATGTTACAATACAAAAATATACAAGACGTTTTAATACAGATAATACAAGATAAAAAACTAAAAGAAATGCACCTTTAAAATTTGAATTGTCTGATATTCTGAGGTAGGAAGGAGAGAATAGCAATTTGTGAGAAAGGCCGGTGGTCTAAATCGTCCGCTACGACGGAAACGTTGGCCGCTTATATGCAATGCAATGGATAACTTTTTTTGTCAAACAAATTTAAATAGACGCGAGACACGTTCCGAGTAAACATACTCCACCGTACTACTGACTGCTGGTCCATCCTCTTCTTGGCACCCTATGGATCATAGCTTTATTAGTCTGAGTATCAAAATACACCCAAAAGCTGAAACACGAATAGGCAAATTCACTTCTTTTATCTGAATAATACTATAGGATAATACAATTAGTATTATTGCAGAAATAGTTCACAAAGCATAAAAGAACAAAATTTTACATGCTGGGTTATTTTTAGAAAACATTGCAATTTCATTTGAAGGTATAAGTTATACAAACAATATATTTTGCAAATACACTCTACTATGCATAAAAATTATTAAACTACAATTAGAGCCATAAAAAATAAACTGAGAATTATTCAGTTAACATAGAATGATATACTTGCATTGTATACCAGCAGTATATATTTGATTGTTTAATGAATATTTGTTACATGTATTATTTTATTTTGTTTAGAACTAGACAATGTTATCATAAGGCTAACTTCTTTCTCAATTGAAATAGATCTTACCATTACATTTGAATCAAAAGCTGGCACTGCAACATGCACTGCAAAGGGTCATCCCAAGCCGTCCTCTGTTATGATATACAATGATGGGAAAGTGATTAAGCATGGGACACTTACGGCTTCTGTGAAAATTAATGAAGAGTTTTGTAAAACAAACATTACATGCTATGCAGAGAATGGAGAGGTTAACGCAACAGAAACACTGAAGCCATGTAACACAGGTATGTTTTCTTCGGCTAGAAAAGGTTTCTGGTTTTGTGTTTTTGGTATTTATACGTAAAGAAAAATGAGCTACGTCGTTATTTCTTACACGTTCCAATGGATAGTTAATCATCGATGGCAGACGAACTTTACATGTACAATACTAATGTAGTTCTACAATAAGATTTACTTTGATTATATCTGGATCTGTATGTATACTCCTCAACGTCCCTAAAAGGAGCAAAGCGAGAAGAAAAATTGTATTTATCATGCCTATCTTGATTTATGTTACCAGAAGTAACTACAATAAGTTTAAACTATTGAATTATTGATTTATAAATTTTTTCCGTATTCAATGTTCAAAATTAAAGGTGTAAGTTTATTTAATATTTCTATGGTTTCCTTCATTTCCTCCATAATGGAGCCTTCGAATTAAACACATTTTTGATAAGTAGGTAATGTGTAGGTAAAAACTAATGAAGAGTTTTTTAAAACCAAATATTACATGCTATGAGAATGGAGAGGTTAACGAAACAGAACCACTGAAGACACAGGTATGTTTTCTTCGGATAGAAAAGGTTTTTGATTTTGTGTTTTTGGTATTTATACGTAAAGGAAAATGAGCTACGTCGTTATTTCTTACACGTTCCAATGGATAGTTAATCATCGATGGCAGACGAACTTTACATGTACAATACTAATGTAGTTCTACAATAAGATTTACTTTGATTATATCAATTGTATTTATAATACCAATCTTTTTTTTTGTTACCAGAAGTAACTACAACAAGTTTAAAATATTGAATTATTGATTTATAATTTTTTTTTCGTATTCAATGTTCAAAATTAAAGGTGTAGGTTTATTTAATATTTCTATGATTTCCTTCATTACCTTCGTAATGGAGCCTTCGACTTAAACACATTTTTGATAAGTAGGTAGGCCTATACTAAAAAACATATACTCCAGATTGAACATATGTTCCGAAATTGCTATTATAATTATATAAATTTGTGATCTACGTTTGTATTTCATTTAGTTCCATCTAGTTACATTACCCTGACCATTGGAATGATTTTTGTTGGCGTCTTTGTTGGTTGCTTTGGGCTAGTTGCTGGTTCGATCGGCTACAATAGGATTAAACAGGTTTGTGAAATAATAACCATCTTGTTTATTTTCTATTAATATCGGTTAATGATAATAGCTTGTAACAGTTAAATGAAGTTATGTAATCGTTATATAGGCCTATGTTATTTCTATTTAACGATGATAGTAAATATTTGAGAAAAAACGTATGTCACCATCAGGATTCGTATCTTAGACCTTCCGCTTACAGTTCGGATAATCTACCAACTGAGCCAAGTCGTATACAAAGAACAAGGCGTTGCGTGATACGCAATGAATAATATTAAATGACATGATAATTAGAAAGTTTTCGCAAGCTTAAGAAAACGATAAAGAATGCGGTTACGTCATCAATTTTTAGAGAACCCTTCCCCTACATTAGCATATTTGTCACAAAGTAGGCGATTCACGCCTTTTGCATGAATCAAGGATCATATTCAGCTCATACAGCATATTGTTAAGAATGATTTAGGCACGAATGACGATAACGACAATGACGTATTCGTATTCGTTATCGTTTTCGTAAGGTTGCGAAATCTCCCTAGTATGAAGATACACCTCCACTGGTGATAATTAAAGATCATCTTTAGTTATCACCAGTGGAGGACCAAATTTCATACATGCTTGTATTATTGAAATATAAAGTGAATTTGTCTAATATCATCTCCACCTTCATCTTTATATTCATCTCATTTTCATATTCATCTCACTTTCATTTTTATCTTTATCTTCATTTTCATTTCCATAGCATCCCTATCTCAATCTAATCTCAAGTTTTATACTTATCTTCTCCATCTTATTCTCCTGTTAAGTCTTCATCTCATCTTTATCCCATCTCCAGTTTTAATCTCCATCATATCTCCATTTCTATCTTCAATCTCATTACCATCTTATCTCTTATGAACTTTTTCTCCATTTTCATCTTTACCTCCATCTTCATCATCTCAACCCCATTTTCATTTTTATCTTCCCTGTACTAAGATAACCTGCCTTTGTTTTCTTTGCCTACATCTTATTTTATTACAATTATATTATATTTTTTATTATAATATAATGAATTATTAGAAATCTGAAGCCATGCGAAGTACCGACACCAGAAAGCAAGATGTGAGTTTGTATTTCATACTTACACATTATTATACTTTAACTTGTACAATTTACCTAAGCGGACCTCAGCATAGCACGTATATGTTCATCATGCTGTTTAACAGGCGCTATATATTGGAAATCATACACAGGATACATGTATTCAAGTATTTTATTCACTTATAAACATAGTTATAAACATAATTTATAATATTATATAAGTGCCTGGAAACCAAGGAGGCAGAGCCTGTGTTTGTAGTTCCGGATCCAACTTAATAATATATCTTAGCTACAAAATCAATAAATTGATCGAACAACCAGTTAACAAACAAATTAACTAATTACATGTATCATTTTAAAATAAGTAAGTTGACTTATCCATGGCCATTCTCGACTTCTGCCCACATCCTCAGATTCTCCCCTCCCACATTAAAAAAATAGCATTTATGATGTTTAAATAGTGTGTTACTTAAGGCATGCAGTGCTAAGAATTAAAAAACGTTTTGTTTAGTGGTATAATTATAATTAGCCTCGCCTCTACGAAGGAGAGGTAAAGGATATGCTAGGCCTCGTTTGGCTAGGCCAAGCCCACTCGAGCGGATCGACGACAGGCCAATATTTTTTCAGTACGTAGATTATTGTTATGTACTTGGTAGTGTGTATGATACTGACTGTTTATTATATTATGATTGTTTCTTATATATTTTTTCTGACTTTCTTTGTTAGAATATTTTCATATTATATTGCCTATTCCAATGAATTAAACAAACTAAATTATAAAAGGCCTTATGTATATTCATTACTTCTATTAATACATTTAAGTTTAATATTCCGAAAGACAATAGTCGATAGATAATATTTTAATTGAAATATTTGATTTATCTTGACAGACTTACACGTCATACATAGTAGATACTGGCGATGAGAACCATACTTATCAAGATCTGCAGGACGCAAATGCAGAAACAAATTACGTTAATGCCAAGGTGGGAATGTATAAAAAGTTAACCCTTTGTCGAAAAGAGTTTGTTTTAATGGAGTATTACTTCAATCTCTACAAACTGTAACGATTTTTGCTATGGCAACGTACCTCCATGATGTTTGGTTATACAAAATATATGATTGAAATAAGTCAGCAGTGGAGCTCATTAAATATTTTTTCTGACTTTCTTTGTTAGAATATTTTCATATTTCATTGCCTATTCCAATGAATTAAACAAACTAAATCATAAAAGGCCTTATGTATATTCATTACTTCCATTAATACATCTAAATTTACCATTCCGAAAGACAATAGTCGATAGATAATATTTCAATTGAAATATTTGTTTTGCCTTGACAGACTTACACGTCATACATAGTAGATACTGGCGATGAGAGCCATACTTATCAAGATCTACAGGAAGCAAATGCAGAAACAGATTACGTTAATGCCAGGGTGGGAAAGTACAAAAAGTGAACCCTTTGTCGAAAAGAGCTTGTTTGTTTTGATACAGGAGTATGACTTCAATCTCTACAAACTGTAACGATGTTTGCTTTGGCAATGTACCTCCATGATGTTTGGCTTAATACAAAATATATGATTGAAATAAGTCAGCTGTGGAGCTCGTTAATTTTAAGAAATATTAATACTAGCAAAAGCAAAACAGAATAAATTGACAAAAAGTGTACATGTATTACTGAATATACTTGACAGTTGTATTTTAAGTTTTCTTCTCGATGGGTACAATATACTAGTAATTTTATAGATTTTAATTACAGGATATAGCCAGTCTAAAGTTGAAGCATAAAAATCGGCGATAATGGAATTTATCTATAATAAGTCGTCCAACCCAGCCAGCAGAATACCGTACTCGCGCGAATAAGCGCCCGGGCGCTTAACATATTTTTGGCTCTTTGGGGGGCGCTTATTCAAATGGGTTGTTTATTCAAACGGGGCGCTTATAAAACAGAGTGGAAATTGAAAGGGCGCTTGTGAATATAGATGAAAATTGAAGGAGTGCTTATGAGAAATTGGAAAATTCAAGGGCACTTTTGTTTTAATCGAAGATAAGTGAATGGTTTTGGTGAAGAAAAGGTAATCGTCGAGACATGGCTCATGACAAAATGTTGGGGGTACACAAAAGCAGATGAAATTAGTGGTGGTGGTGGTGGTGGTAGCGTTTTGGCGATCTGCCAATTCAGATTAGCAGGATCATTGCAGCCTTTTTTGCTTAGATACGAGAGTGATGAATTCAGTCAATTTTTGTTGACTGAAAATGGCCATACAGTATTTTCATTTTTAGATAGGCCTATTAAATACTAGTACCGTAGTTCTTAATCAAAAAATGTAGCAATAAAACAAGAACGGGATTCTAAAGATACATCAAAACTGAAAATCATGTTAATAATGGAGACTGATAGACCGAGTAATGGATAGCTGGACTAACCGAACAACGATACTAAGATAGATGCGAATAGTTGATGCAGAAAATTAAGTTGGTAATGTACTGTACTGTACTGTATGTATGATTGAATTTTTATTAGGAATCGAGGGGCGCTTATTCAAAATTGAGGGTGCTCTTATTTAAAACAGGGCGCTTAAGACAATTTTCACGTTAGGAAGGACGCCTATTGAAGAGGGGCGCTTATTCAAACGGGGGCGCTTATTCACGCGAGTAACGGTAATAAAAATAGTAAAATATATTTTTAAAAATTGAATAAGTAGCATAACATATTATTATTATTATTAATATTATATTTATTTTTATTAATAACAACAATGATGGTAAGAACACAAGCTAAAGAATGTCTATATATTATAGGCCTACACCAAATTATATAGGCCTATTACACTGGTTTATGAATTTTATACTATCTACATATCTAATGTAGAGTTCTGTTTATGCATTTTTATTATTTTAATCATTGACCGCAGTAACTTCCTGGCTATTGTTACACCAGTCGCATACCAATTCATGTAGGCTATCTTTATGTTCCATACCATAAAAAATGCATTGGAGATGGTACATATATCCTCAAGAATACGTTAATCTATAAAGTTTGGAAATACAAACCAGTTATAAGTTAAAGATATTGCGGCGTTTTTTCTTTTTCTTTTATGGGAAATAATTCGTTGTGTCAGCTAAAGTGAAAAAAACTGTACTTAGCATTTCGTGCAACATTTGCTTAGATAAGTGGTTTATTTTAGCTTCATTAGCCCTGAGAATGTTTTGTTAATAAAGTTTAAAAATTCTCAGCGGATAGGCATTTTGAATCTTGTTAAGAATACACCGCCTGTGTGGTAGGCTTAAAATGTAGGCCTACACTGTGATCAACAACACGACATGTTTTGACGTATCACACGTCGTCATCAGGCATTGTTGCTTATGCTCTACCGGTTTACTATACTAACGGTCAGATAATACTATCCTGAAGTCATGTATATAAGAATTATAATGATAGAGTGATGTTACAAAGAGTTGTTTGTTACATGGGCGGCGGAACCGGGGGGGCCGGGGGGGCCCGGGCCCCCCCACTTTTTGGCGAAAAATATATAATGTCTGGAGAACTTTGTATGATCGGAAATGCAAAAAAAGAAGGAGGGAAGAAGGAGAA